TCACCAAAAGGTATGATGGGTAATCAAATGCCAAATACAAATATGTATGGTAATAGTAGGAGAAATTTACGATCACAGCCTGCTTAAACTATCACAAGTAATATCCCATATACTGACTAATAGGAGATGCTTTTAGCCTGTTGTGATCGGAGCTCCTTTTATTGTATCTGAATTATTTGTTATGAAACCTCACTTTATGTTTACAACCTGAGGGGGCGGGGCGTCTTTAGAGCAGGTTGTTTGGGTCTCCCTAGTAACCTACATATACTCCAGTGTATTGGGCTTTGTACAGTAATTGCTGTGATTAACATACCCTTAGGTGTGTGGTTTGTGAGTTAAATGGTCTGTAAGGTGGTAGTCAGGTACACCTAATAGACCAATGTCACCTATTGTCAGCATTATTGTTATTATTTCAATATACAGGTACACACTACTGGTCACATTTTAGTTTTTTCCCTTCTAGTTGCTTTAATTTTATATATAAAAACTGTACATAAAGTAAAGGTATACAGTGTTTTCCTAAAGCCACTGCACAAAATGTGTCAGAAAAATATACAAACACCAGTGATAAAATTTGTTTCTGTCTATTTGGAGGCAAAAAGTTTTGACGAAGATAGTGACTGTGAGAATGTCATGTTGACCGACTTATTGCGAGGAGGGGCCTAGTAGTTAAGAAACCAGCCAATAATTAAAGTCAGGGTTGTCGCTAATCAACAAAAACCTGACAGATCTCCAGGCTGGTCTGATTGTCAATGAGCTGCATGATTCAGCTTATTTTTTTAACTTCAAAAGGCTGTATTATGGAGATATGTTGATGGATTTTCAAACAGATTGTTTAAAGTGGTAGAATAGGAATTTGTTAGAAGACCTGTACATGTGTTTCTCATTTTTCTGAGTCATTTCTTAGGATGGTTTCAGGAAATGCTGTATGTTACTCCAGCGACCTGTTAATGTGACTTGTACCTGTTTTCCAGGTACATAAATCACAAGGTCGTTCAAAATAAAGCAATTTCTTAAATGTCCACATCAACATCATTTGGCATTAAAAGAAAAAATGATGGTTTGCCATTGTCCAGGGAGCTTGACAACCCGGTGGTAGTGGGTTATAATGTTACACCTGGTCATGTAACCATGAAGCATAAGTGAATTAATTTGAAATTAATATGGATTATTTGTAAACATTACAGGTATAAAAGCTGAGGTAAACAGGTATCTAGAAGCGGTAGTTATACACCTATTACAACTCCAGGTCTCTAGGAGCGGTAGTTATACACCTATTACAACTCCAGGTCTCTAGGAGGCACAGTGGCAGCTCAACCTGAACAAAGCACTCTAGCTCCATGGTAACACCCTTGTGTGATGGAGAACACTGTTCCAAACATATGAAAGCACATAAATAATTCATGTTACCTGTGGGCTCCTAGCAAGCTGATCAAAATGCCAAACATCACCACAACAGTTTTATTGAGCAGTGGAGACAAACTAAACAGTGTCTGATACAATCCATTTACACAGCATTTAACTTCTATTTATCTACAACACAATTTAAAGTGAATTAAAGAAAGTTCCTATGTTAACTGACTTGTCAGACTTATTCCTTTAAACAATGTATGCCACTGTTCTTATTTATTTTCCTGTCTTTAAAAAGAAACAAATTTGCAAGAAGTTGAAATCAGATGTTGTTAAAATAAATGACCAGTTTGATTGTCTGGACTGCTCAAATTTCATGTTGTAATTTTATATCTCTAGCTAATATTTTTGTTCCGCCTCAGTTAATATTACTACTTTATTCTGGAGACAGTGTCAACATTCTACTGCGCAGTGTTTATTTACATTGTTTACAATGTAGCATAGACATATCCCTTGATGCAACACAGTGACTTTTTATTGGTTAGCAGGGTTGTTTGTTTACCTGTGTTTATGTTACTATATATAGAGACTGATCAGGTAGAACCACCCCAGCTAGAGTCAGGGTGTACCCAATCAATATGTTTAAAAGATGAAACATTAAACAGTAATCAATACATCTACTTTGATGTGTGATCTATATATAACGTTTATAGGCTTCACTCTCTTTATATATATACACTATAACATGTAGCTAGGAGTAACAGTTAACAGTGTACAATGTAGTACTATACAATGTAGCTAGGAGTAACAGTTAACAGTGTATAATGTAGTACTGTACAATGCAGCTAGGAGTAACAGTTAACAGTGTACAATTTAGTACTGTACAATGCAGCTAGAAGTAACAGTTAACAGAGTACAATGTAGTACCGTACCATGTATCTATGAGTCACTATATATAAGTACTGTACAATGTAGCTCGGAGTAACAGTTAACAATGTACAATGTAGTACTGTAGAATGTAGCTAGGAGTAATAGTTAACAGTGTACAATTTAGTACTGTACAATGCAGCTAGGAGCAACAGGTAACAGTGTACAATGGAGTACTGTACAATGTATCTAGGAGTAACAGTTAACAGTGTACAATGTAGTACCGTACCATGTATCTAGGAGTCACTATATATACACTGTAAAATGAAGACATTGCTTTATATTCATACAACTATACAATGTAGCTAAAAGTCACTTTATATACATACAATTATACAATGTAGCTAGGAGTCACTACACACTATACAATGTAGCTAGGAGTCACTACACGCTATACAATGTAGCTAGGAGTCACTATATACAACTATACAATGTAGCTAGGAGTCACTATATATACAACTATACAATGTAGCTAGGAGTCACTATATATACAGGTATACAATGTAGCTTGGAGTCACTATATATACACACTATACAATATAGCTAGGAGTCACTATATATACACACTATACAATGTAGCTAGGAGTCACTATATACAACTATACAATGTAGCTAGGAGTCACTATATATGCATACAACTATACAATGTAGCTAGGAATCACTATATATACAACTATACAATGTAGCTAGGAGTCACTATATATGCATACAACTATACAATGTAGCTAGGAGTCACTATATATACACACTATACAATATAGCTAGGAGTCACTATATATACACTTTACAATGTAGCTAGGAGTCACTATATATGAATCTATACAATGTAGCTAGGGGTCACTATATATACACTGTACAATATAGCTAGGAGTCACTATATATACACTATACAATGTAGCTAGGAGTCACTATATATACAACTATACAATGTAGCTAAGAGTCACTATATATACACTGTACAATATAGCTAGGAGTCTATATATATACACTATACAATGTAGCTAAGGGTCACTATGTATACACTGTACAATGTAGCTAAGGGTCACTATATATACACTGTACAATGTAGCTAAGGGTCACTATATATACACTGTGCAATGTAGCTAGGAGTCACTATTTATTCACAATGTAAAAACATCAAGAATTTAATTCTTATTTGATAGAATGTTAAAATTTCCAAGCTGCATTAACACTTGCTGCTGGTGCTGAAATATGATAGAAATCTTTGAACAAAGCTGAAGTGTCACCAGCTTGAAGTTTTTTTTATTATTGGCCAACTTTTTTTTAATTCTTTAGAACTAAAGAGCGGAAAACTAGTTGGCCAAAAAAAAATCCCACCCAAATTAATGATGCAATTAGTTCAGCATTGTATAATAATCCCTGCAAATGAAGTTTGAGGTTAATAGGAATTACCCTGTTTCAACCATCTGTCTGTATGTCTGTCTGGGGCCGCGGTGGCCAAGTGGTTAAGGCGTCTGACATTCTGCTACCACTAGCCTTCCACCACTGGGTCGTGGGTTCGAGACCTACGTGGGGCAGTCGCCAGGTACTGGCTGTTTGTCGGTGGTTTTTCTCTGGGAGCTACGGCTTTCCTCCACCATCAAGACCAGGCACGTCCCTAACTGACCATAGCTGTTAATAGGACGTAAAATACAAACAAACAAACTGTCTGTCCATGAACCTTGCAAGCACAACTCCTCCTATACTGTTGGATATTTCCATAACTTGGCACAGTGAAAGTACATCATCATGAAGATGTGATGGAGAAAGGAATTTGTGATTTGACTATTTTTCAGGGAGTTAAGGGCCTTGAAACTTTCTTCTCCAGAAACCTTGTAAGCACAACTCCTCCTTAACCATTCCCTGGATTTTTCTGTACCTTGGCACAGGGAAAGAACATCGTATGTAGATGTACATGAAGGAAGGGATTTGTGATTTAGGTATTACACACACTCTGCAAACAAAGTTTGCATACGTAAATAAAAGGAAGCAGGGGGTTATATCTTTGTGAGCTAGCTAACAGTTTCTATGGTTTAAAATTTATTTTATTCAATGTACAATTTTTATAATTGACAATGTTAATAACAAATAATGAATTGCTTAAAATGCTATATAGTCTTTAGTCTGGATAAGCTAAATTACAAATTACATTGTAAGTCAATCAATCAGATTTAGTGATTTAATTATAACAAAGTAGGTACCATAACACCAACATGTGTTTTCCATTAAAGTTTGATGAGGGCAGAACCTCTCTGGGAGAAGTTTCCAGCAGTTTGTATAAACTTGACAAAATATTGATTTGTCGTTACGTATATGTCTCATCAATATTTGATATCTACTTGTCTAATTAGTTATTGTGACAATGCTGATGATGGCTTTCAAATGAGGACATAGTCATGTTACACCCTACAGTGAGTGTACAGCCTTATTGTAGCTAGTACAATCTGTCGATTCTGGGACAATTTAACAGTTCATTGTCTATTGTCAAGATCCCAGAGAATTCTATTCCATAGGACCAGGACAGCCAGTATGGTACCAGTAATGTACCAGTAATCCTTTGTGACATACACCAAATTCATCAAGTCTAGTATTTTACTGAGGAGCAGTTGTGTGTGTGAATGATGCGGACAGTATGTGGACATAGACAGGATTGTTTTAATTGATGTAGAATACAAATTACATGTTTTGAGAATTTGACAAAAATGTATTATTTGTTTTCCAAGCGAGCTACACTCCAGTATGATGGCCTCCATGACCGAGCCCTCAAGCATTATTTCAGCCTGCCCGAGGTCCGGTGTAAACTCACCAACATGGGACCGGTAAGTCTCAGTGTTTATTTTAGTCCACAGATAACGGGCAAATTTTTCAACTGCATGTTGTTAGCTACTGTAAAATACTTATATCTTCATGAAAGATTCGTACTCATTCGGAACATGAAAAATCTTGGCAAGTATTAATCCCATACATGATCAATGATGAAATAGCATCCTCTTAATTGCAAATTTAAGTATGCTAGGAAAAAACTTCCAGGAATGAACTTGTTCTCAGAATTTTCTGCTTTTATTTAAGTAGTACAAACATTACTGGTATATATGTTTATATGTGGAGGGAGAAATATCCTTTTTGATAAAGTGAAACAGTTTTACTTTAAAAAGAAAAAAGAAAGGATCTGGAATTTTGACACAATACAAGATCACTAAATCAGTATTCTGGCTTACTGACATTGTCCCATTTGTTATTTGAGTTTCTCCAATCTTTTTTGAACTTTGACAAGAGTTACTGATCTGAAAGTTTGTGTGATTGACAGAATTGAACTATAATTATGAAAACTAGTGTCAATTAGTTTTTTTCACAATATGAGTTTATTTTTTATTATCAATTGCTTATTTTTGTGGCATGCTTTTTTTCACCAGAAGAAAAACGAGGCTGCGGTAATAGTTTGATTGACTTAAGCGTGCCAGGTTTTGTAGTGAAGCTTTCTTACCTAATATAGATCTACGCAGCATAGTGTGTGCTTACCTGCATGTAGGCATGTGTTGATGTAATATATACTACATATAATTATCTTAGTGTGTTTTTGTGCTCAGTTAATGCTAACTTAAGACTTTTTAGTTTATATTTTCCCCAACATTGCTATTTTTAGTATATAACACACATTCTAACACGATCCAAATGTGTCGTATAAACTTTGGTAATAGGACATTCACGAACATACAGATCGAGCGCTCGCCAGTATGGGCAGGGCCAAATGACCGACTTTTGAAAACTTCTTTCCGATTGGTCAGTCCGCTGCAGAATGATATGTCGCCAGTTCAGGTCCAGAATAGGCCTACTTTACTAGGTACCTTTGTACAAGGAAATACAATGTTTCTAAACATATTAGCGTAGTGTATTTGTTAAGGTGTGTTAGAATGGGGATAGTGCATTGTTTTTCGTGTCTATACTGGCGATTAGAACATGAAATTTGGACCTATCGGGCTCGAGTTCAAACCAAATTTCATGTTCTAATCGCCAGTATAGCCACTCAAAACAATGAGTTCTGGCTGTTCCTTTTTTATGATTTTGTCCGATACTAATATCAAAAATATTAAATTTACAAAAAGTGTTACAATTTTTTTTATTGTAGATCATCGTAACGTAAATATATGAATTGAATGGACTTTTTCATGTACATTGCGGCAATGAATAGCAGTAGCTGATCTACATATCTTCTGAGGAGCGCGTTACTATATAGCGCTAATTATTACGCTTCTGATTCCCGCCCTTTTTTAATGCATTACATTTTTCATGTTTTATGCTTTGAAAATGTAAAAAATTAAAAATGTAATGGTATCTTCAGTAATAACATGTATACTTCACTCGTGTGGCTAATATTTTGATATTTTTCACTTTTGCTGTGCACTCATGAAAAGTATCAAAAAATTAGCCATACTCGTGACATATATTTGTTGTAACTGGAGACACCATTAAATATCCTCTATATAACCAGTGTTGTAAGTGATCATATGTGGACACAGCAGTTTGGATGATATTAATATATATTTATATGTTAAATTACAAAAATTACAAAAAAGATGTTCTTTTACTCTTAAGTGCATGAAGTCTTACTGCAATGTTAAATAGTTCTGTTACCACCTTGTTGAAATTAAACATGAATAAACAAATTGTTAAGACAACATCAGCTGAGCGGTCCTTCTAAGATGGCTTGATCTGTTAACACAGCTAAGCTGTTCATTTCTTACAGAACATTTAGTATTTTATTTTTAAGAGCTCTTTTTCACCATTTTATTTGGCTGCACTTGACATGTAAGGCAGACATGTAGACATGTCTATTTGCCCTCGTATTACTTGAGGGCACATTATATAGTAGGTGAGTAAGTTTCTGTTACTCCTTATGATGTAGTTAGGAAGGTCTGAGATGATGTAGTTAGGAAGGTCTGAGATGATGTAGTTAAGAAGGTCTGAGATGATGTAGTGAGGAATGTCTGAAATGATGTAGTGAGGAAGGTCTGAGATGATGTAGTGAGAAAGGTCTGAGAAGATGTAGTTAGGAAGGTCTGAGATGATGTAGTTAGGAAGGTCTGAGATGATGTAGTGAGGAAGGTCTGTGATGATGTAGTGAGGAAGGTCTGTGATGATGTAGTTAGGAAGGTCTGAGATGATGTAGTGAGGAAGGTCTGAGATGATGTAGTTAGGAAGGTCTGAAATGATGTAGTTAGGAAGGTCTGAGATGATGTAGTAAGGAATGTCTGAAATGATGTAGTGAGGAAGGTCTGAGATGATGTAGTGAGAAAGTTCTGAGAAGATGTAGTTAGGAAGGTCTGAGATGATGTAGTTGGGAAGGTCTGAGATGATGTAGTGAGGAAGGTCTGTGATGATGTAGTGAGGAAGGTCTGTCATGATGTAGTTAGGAAGGTCTGAGATGATGTAGTTAAGAAGGTCTGATATGATGTAGTTAAGAAGGTCTGAGATGATGTAGTGAGGAATGTCTGAAATGATGTAGTGAGGAAGGTCTGAGATGATGTAGTGAGGAAGGTCTGTGATGATGTAGTTAGGAAGGGCTGAGATGATGTAGTGAGGAAGGTCTGTGATGATGGAGTTAGGAAGGTCTGAGATGATGTAGTGAGGAAAGTCTGAGATGATGTAGTTAGGAAGGTCTGAGATGAGGTAGTTAGAAAGGTCTGTGATAATGTAGTGAGGCAGGTCTGAGATGATGTAGTGAGGAAGGTTGAGATGTTGTAGTTAGGAAGGTCTGAGATGATGTAGTTAGGAAGGTCTGAAATGATGTAGTTAGGAAGGTCTGAGATGATATAGTTAGGAAGGTCTGTGATAATGTAGTGAGGCAGGTCTGAGATGATGTAGTGAGGAAGGTCTGAGATGATGTAGTTAGGAAGGTCTGAGCAGATGTAGTTAGGAAGGTCTGAGATGATGTAGTTAGGAAAGTCTGAGATGATGTAGTTAGGAAGGTCTGAGATGATGTAGTTAGGAAGGTCTAAAATTATGTAGGTTGGAAGGTCTGAGATGATGTAGTTAGGAAGGTCTGAGATGATGTAGTGAGGAAGGTCTAAGATGATGTAGTTAGGAAGGTCTGAGATGATGCAGTGAGGCAGGTCTGAGGTGATGTAGTTTGGAAGGTCTGAGATGATGTAGTTAGGAAGGTCTGAGATGATGTAGTTAGGAAGGTCAGAGATGATGTAGTTAGGAAGGTCTGAGACATTGTCTGTTTATGTTTGACAGGGAGACGGAGAACACAGAGAGAAAAAAGTCAAACGGAAGCTGAAGCGCAGGATGAACAGATACGATTATAAGGTAGGTCATTGTACAGGGGTCAAAGGTCACTACTTCAGGGGTCTTGTCCTGAGTTCCCCTCACTCTCTTTGCTTGCTCCGTGATCTGAATTTCACCTGGCTAATCTGTTGGGTAACTGAGTCAGGGAACCATCGATAGAAGTGCATCGTATTTCTGTTAGATAAGTGATGCATGATCACATTCACAGTTCACCGGGTTATGTTTCAGATAATCTAGTGCAAATGTATTATCATTGATTTAACAACAATTTAATCACAATATTAACTTATTCACAATATTAACTTATTCACAATATTATAAAAAAATTGGTATGTGTTACTTTATGGTGGAATCACCTTACTAGCAAAATAGTCCTGATGTTATCCAAGTAAACTTCTAAACAATGAAATATCAAAAACTTGTTCCTTCATTGACACCTTCATGGAAAGACAACTTGTTTCTAAAGAAAAGTGTAAGTTTTCCTTTCCTTTAGATAAACTGTCTACAAGAACAGCTTATAATGTTCCGTTCCATAGATAATGATATAACTGTTTACTTGGATTAGCTGTCTCAAAAGATGACTTCCAATCTTCTATTTCATAGATATAGGTATGTAAAGGGGGTCCCAGAGTCCTTTTCCCACGGTAGATAATTTGGATGATATGTGCAGGAAACCTGTTCAGGATGTCCACTTTCAATGGTGCCGTTTGTTAGTTAGACTATATTGGAGTGAATAGAAGTTGGTTTTTCTAATGAGGTAGTCCAGACTCTATTTTGGGGCCAATGCTGTGTTGGAATTGCCTGTTGTAAGCAATGTTGATGCGACAGTATTCTCTATAAGCTAACCTATTACATATAGAACAAACAGACGGTCTGTCTTGTCTGTGTTGTCATTGAGAAACAATGTACCTATAATGATATACCTGATGATACACCTTTGAGAGGTCCTGCCCTTTACTGAAATCAGATTTCAGTATGATCAAGCAATGAAATACCTATAGTGCTGTAGATAACATTGTAATGTATTCCAATCATAAGGTGAACGAGTATGTGAGACTACTAATATAAGATATCTCAGGTTGTTTACAAAAAGTATAAGGGGTAGTGTGTATAGGGATTTCTCCTGTAGTTAGTATGTATTATGTATATCGGGATGTGTGTCAGAGGACTTGGATGTATATAGACTTTTACACCTGTATGTATATAAACCCTTACACTATAAATCTTGCATGTATACAGAGCTTTACACAAACACTTGAGTGTCTTTTATCTACTATAAACATTTGAATGAACTTTATAATATCCAACATCCTGTATGTTTATGCCCTTTTCCATTACTATCGTAAAAGAAACAATTAGACGGGGATGCCGCCCGATTGATGAGTATACTGGCCACGAGCCCCTACCTTAAGGTAACCTTCACCCCACTGACGACATTGTGGGCATGCATGTTGTGGGATATCATACACGTAAAGCTCTACTGGATTAGCATGACAATAACACCATCAGTCCTTACTGGTATTAGTCCCGAATTCTTCTCTTAAAGAGCGAAATTTCTGTTGTAAATTATCATATAATTAATTTTCTATCTTATAAATACGGATCAGACACAATAACTAAGAACCTTTTTGTATCTTGCTTCATTTTCATAATTATATACAGAGGTCGGGATGGAATCTGTAGCTGTGTCAGTAGCCTAATAATCAAAATTTTGTAGTTTAGAAATTATTCATGTGAATCCTGATATTGAAAATTATACATATGTACATTCAGACACTAAGGATTGTACCCAAGGATCCTCAGCATGTACAGGTAGTGTTCCCATTAAACCAGTGAGTCACCTATGTATACAATGAGATACAACTGTTGTCTGATGCAGCACTGTTACATGTTATGGTAGGGAACTAAGTCTGAAACTGCTTTCTATTGTCCTAGCGCTTTGGGATAAATTTGTTTAACTGATAGTTTGATGAAAGTTTAAAAATATCTTTGGTACTGAAAAATTAACTTTAATTATATCAATTAAATACTCCAATATTGTAGAAATCAGCCAGAATCAATCGTCCATGCCGTTAGGATAGTCTCTATATAACAAAGCTTCATACAACAGTTTCCTGATCTTGTGTTTGATCTGATTTGTACAACCTTATGATACAGCTGTCTCTGTACCTGTTTTCAAAATGTATCAAAACAGTTCTGATTGGTGCCGATGACTTGTCTGCTAATCATGTAGGACCTTTCCTGTCCTAAGTTCTCTCACCATTACAGTGGCAGACACGTTTTTTAATTCTCCCATAATCCTTGTTTCTGTCACGGCATGAATCTCACAACAGTGGGTTGAAGACTTATGCAGGAAACTAATAGGAATTATGTATGTGTATGGTTTCTGTTTTTAATTTTATTTGGGTCACTTAGTTAGTGCACATGGAGAACCAATACAGTTTTGAATGTCCTTTGTTTTTGGTTTGGATCGTTACATGGCACTTTAATGTATGTGTTGTGTACATCTTGTGTTGTTCAGGTCAATGTGACAATATGGCAGCGTTATTACAGTACCTGATGTTTTACACCACTGTGTATCTTACTTGTAAGCATATAATGTTCACCGCATAGGTTTTGTTGTTCTGGAACATACTTAAACGTTTGCTGGCTCCTAGAATCATAGATATCTGCATGAACCCATGACCTTCATAAATATACACTTATAGAAACAATGGCATGTTTTCCTCAAACATTATTTTTATCCTACATGCATGCTATCAGTTTGACAAATACCTTGGCAACCAGCCAGCTAGGACAACCTGTCAATGACCTCAGAAAGAAGAGTCAGAAGGTTGAGGAGTTTGGATAAAAGGACTTATTTTTAAAAGAAACCTGAGATATTGATACAAGAATTATGTAACACTTAATTAGAATTGTTGGGATATTCTTTATACAGACTTATATTTTTGTATGATATTCTTTATACAGACTAATATTTTTGTATGCTATTCTTTATGCAGACCAATATTTTTGTATAAGATTATGTATACACGTTAAGCACTTCACATAGTTTTTAGCTCACCTAGGCCGTCCGTTGTCCGTTGTCCGTCCGTCGACTTTTCCCTTTAAATGCTACTTGTCCTGAACGGCCAAATAGATTTTGACTAAATTTGGTCTGGAGTATCCTTAGGCCAAGGGGACTCAATTTTGTATAAACAGTGGGTGTGGCCCCCCTGATGGCAGAGGGGCGGGGCTGAATAGGGGAAATAGAGCAAATTCTTCAAAATCCTTCTTCTTCTGTAGAAACGACAGGATATTGTCCAAATTTGGTATGAAGCATCCTTTGGTGAAGGGGAACCAACTTTGTATACCGTAAATTTGTGCGTATAGTGCACACTTTTTAGGTCACCTGAGCTTTAGCTCAAGTGACCTATTGCTATCCGTTTTCGTCCGTCGTCGTCCGTCGTCCGTCGTCCGTTAACATTTTACATTTCAAACTTAAAGTCAAGTTCTGCTAGGCCGATTGAACTGAAAGTTTGTAGGAATGATCAGCTCATGGTCCTGACAAAGTGTTGTTATTTTTAGATCAATCAGAAATCCAATATGGCCACCACGTCCGCCATTTTGAAAACTTATTTCAAACTTAAAGTCAAGTTCTGCTAGGCCGATTGAACTGAAAATTGGTAGGAATGATCGCCTCATGGTCCTGACAAAGTGTTGTTATTCTTCGGGTCGATCAGAAATCCAATATGGCCGCCACAGCCGCCATTTTGAAAACCTATTTCAAACTAAAAGTCAAGTTCTGCTGGACCGATTGAACTGAAAGTTGGTAGGAATGATCGACTCATGATCCTGACAAAGTGTTGTTATTTTTTGGGTCGATCAGAAATCCAATATGGCCGCCACGGCCGCCATTTTGAAAACCTATTTCAAACTTAAAGTCAAGTTCTGCTGGGCCGATAGAACTGAAAGTTGGTAGGAATGATCAGCTCATGGTCCTGACAAAGTGTTGTTATTTTTAGATCAATCAGAAATCCAATATGGCCACCACGTCCGCCATTTTGAAAACTTATTTCAAACTTAAAGTCAAGTTCTGCTAGGCCAATTGAACTGAAAGTTTGTAGGAATGATCAGCTCATGGTCCTGACAAAGTGTTGTTATTTTTAGATCAATCAGAAATCCAATATGGCCACCACGTCCGCCATTTTGAAAACTTATTTCAAACTTAAAGTCAAGTTCTGCTAGGCCGATTGAACTGAAAGTTTGTAGGAATGATCAGCTCATGGTCCTGACAAAGTGTTGTTATTTTTCAGGTCAATGAGAAATCCAATATGGCCGCCACGTCCGCCATTTTGAAAACCTTTTTCAAACTTAAAGTCAAGTTCTGCTGGACCAATTGAACTTAAAGTTTGTAGGAATGATCGACTCATGGTCCTGACAAAGTGTTGTTATTTTTCGGGTCAATCAGAAATACAATTTGGCTGCCATGGCCGCTATTTTGCTACTAAGTTCTAATAGGCCGATCTCACTTAAAATTGGTCTAGGAATGATCAGCTCATGGTCCTGACAAAGTTAAGTTAACATTATACTAGTTTTTACTCAAATTGGTACCTATTTCAACAACAAAAATAAATACTGTAGACTCAGGTGACCGTTTAGGCCCATGGGCCTCTTGTTTAGTTAAATATTGTCATGTCAAAAAGGGGGTTGCACACTATACGCAGGAACAAGTCATTCTTGGGTTATTGTTCTCGAGTTTCTGGTCCGCCATATTGGATTACCTCCCTTCAAATAGTTTTATTTGGAGTCGTCGGTCATATATGATAAGATTGAAGATTAAAAAACAACAAATAATGAAATTCTTTGGCGACACAATTTTTACCTTCTCTTAAATGATTAAAATCGGTAATCTGTGGTCATGACTGCTGATGATTTGGCAACAGGCACAGGTAACATTTTTAGAGGTAAGTTGACCAGAGGGCATACAACCACCGTCTGATCCCGGACAATAGGCTAGGTAGGATCGCCATGCTTCAGCG